CAGGTTGTAAAGAGTAATTATAGCAATCTATTAGAAAGAAAACAGACTGTATGTAGGGTAGGAATGGGTAATATATTATGTTAACACATAGTAAAAATAAAATTATCAGTATGAAAAAGAAAAAAAAAATTGGCTTGGATTTCACTCCCCAAGGCTGACTGCACCGTTTCCTGTAGCTTGCCTATTCATGAACTTTCTGGTCATTCCCAATTTGTTACTGTCCATGCTTGTCCCTGTTACGGTCATTACATTTATTTTTATAGCTGCTTTTATCCAAAGCATATGTTGTCAATGGCCTTCTTTCCTTATCTTCAGTGCTTTCAATTACATAATGTACCATGGTACCTTGTAGCAATTCCAAAGCAAATGTATCTTGGATGATAGATTACAAATGAAAAATGAATGCTCTGGGACATCTTAATAGCTTATTTCCCCCCATGCTTCCTGCCAATGTGCCTCGGCATGTCTCATACATGTATCCAAATAGATCAAAATATCAGCCAGTATATTCACTAAATTCATTTTTTCTTTTAGTGTTAACAGCAAGGAAATCATCAGAAATGGTGAAGGTTCTTTATTGAACAGCAAAACTTAACTGGCAGTGATCGAAAGCTGCCTTACATAGACCAGAAGGCATTTGATTTTAATCAGTCAGGAAGGAAACGGTAAAACAAACGAATATACTCTGATCTTCAAAAAGAGGTTCTCCAGGGAAAGGGGAGAGTGTTCTGCTTCTCAAAGGTTAACAGCCTCATAGTGCCCTTTTTGGGAACCTGATCCCTGATTTGTGAGTAGTTTCCTTCCTTCCTTCCTTCTCCACAGAAGAATAAAGCTGTGCTTCTGCAGCTTTGAACTCACTGCCAGTTTTGCTGTTGAATTTCACGCAGAAGGACTTTGCTAGTGACTTGTGTTTGGTGGGGGAATAAGCAAGCACTGAGGGCACCGCTGTCCTGGCATCACTAAATACACAAATACCACGAACAGAAGCCACGGCAGGCAAATACCCTTTCTGGCCACAGGAATGTGCAAGTTGGTCCATGGAGGAAGAGCTAGGCTGTCTTCAGCAGCGAGAGGCCAGCAAACTGTCCTAGCACAGCCCTCTGTGCCAGCGGTTTCACAGTTTATGCCAATGCAGCAAGCACCATGACCTACCAGGTCACCCAGATCCTTTCCCACAGCATATTTCAAAGCGTGTGCCAGGCAAATTTCTTACAGATACAGTGACCTGAGAGTTGACAAGGACCTCAGGAAGTCACTTGTGATGTCCTTATAACCGTTCCGTGCTCCAGCACTGGCAGGCTAAACTCTAGGGAGTCACTGACAAGTTATTTACTCCATACAGGTGTATAAATTTGGGCTTGAGCCATTTGCATTAATATTTGTGATGATGATGAATTACAGGCTTAACTGATCGGCTCTGATTTCCCTCTGATGCACCCTCTCAGCCTCTGAAGCTCAGTGTAAGGAACTAAAAGAAGACATTTTTGCAAGGTCTCCTTTTGCAAGGAAAGCCACTGCTTTCCTCTTCACTGTATTCACATCTAACACTGGTGCTGCAAAGCACGGTCCTGGAGAAGGATATTGGCTCCAAGTCTTTATTTCCCGAGCGATTTAAATAATTTGGACCAATATGAACATAGGGTGTTTGTGCTTCATGTTCTACAAGGTTAATGGGAATATGAGCAAACGGTCTTCTCGGAAATGCTCACCAGTAGTTGATGATTTCTTTTCTGTTACAACTTTGCTTGCTTCCATGACCCATGTACTGTAATACTTACAGACTTTTTAAACCCTGCTCTGGAATTCCTGGAATCATCATAAATGGATTAAATGAAAACTCTTGTTTTCTTTCTGTTCAGTTAAGGAATCTGTCTTTTGATTTGATATTGCTCACTTTTTATTTTGTATTGAGAGAATTAGACATAATGAGAAATGAAGAGACAGTTAAAATGAGACTTGGGAACTCAGTTCTGAGCTCTATCAGCCCTGGACCTGTCCCATGATGTTAGCCAAGACTTTGGGAAAACTTTGCTAAATTTTCATGAAATGTCAGGTTTGAAAGAATCTTTGTTAATAATTGGAAATTGATTTCATGATATTTTGATACTGAGCTCACAGCTATTATTTTAGATTTCAGAGTGCAATCACAACAGATGAAATCTCAAAAGCTCTAGAAAAATAAAGGCTCTACTTTTGTTCCTTTCCTTCCAGGTTTTCTTGAAATCATAGACTAGGTTTAGATTAGACCACTCCATAACATAACTGTGGAAAAGCAAGGGAGTAAAACTCAGGAGTAATTTGCTGCAGGCCCATTTTTTCTTGAGTGAAGCTGACTGTAAGTTTGGCAGGAAAAGAAAGTTAGATAGTAATAATCTAATTTAGAACCCAAAATGTATATTAATTTATCCCTAGTTTGGCATGAACTTGAGTCCAGTTTCAAAAGGTTCCTGCTGCTGGGGTTTCTCGTTGACCGGTAACGTTGAAATGTATCCAGTGTGCTTCCTTGGTCTTATGGCTGTTGTCCAGTCAACCAGCTGGAACCTAATTGCTCTTTTTTTCCCAGTTTCCCATGTGACATTGCTGATAGCGAACATCTCGTTTAAAGCTCATTGCAGCAAAGTGACTCAAACATTACCAGTACATTCTTGCTCCTGGATGCACTTTAAATAAAATCAGCAAGGCTCCCCAGATACTACCTCATATTTCTCTGGGATTCCACAGCCAGAGCATTAAAATAATGAAAGGAAAATTTATGAGAGTAGAACCAACTTCCTGTGCGGAAAGAATAAATCACTGCCTGTGCCTCTTTCTTGTGACTGACCCAGGACTCAGGTCTAAAGAGCAAAGCCCCTGAGCGTGTTCCCAGGAGAGACTCGACCAGCTCCTAATTACATGCGCAAGAAGTGGGTGGTAGCTTCACTAGGAGCTTGTAACTGAAATGTCTACCCACGGGACTGGAGCAATTTCCCATCCTACTCTTGCTTTCTAATGCTGAATTCTGGGATGAGAGCTTAGTCCTCAAGTGCTTTTTGCTGGGATTTGAACATCGCTGATTTGAATGCTCCGTAGTGTCTGATACCTTGGGAAAAGCCTGTTTCCCGTTCCCGTCTCCAGATGCACAGCCTCACAGCAGCCAGTATTCAGTATTCAGCTACTCGCTGCTGGCTGTCTCTGGCTGGGTCAGTAAAGGTGCTCCTTCAGGCTCTGCTTCCTCTCTGCTTTAGCTCCCTGCCTTGCTTCTGAGGAGATGGTGTTTTCTCACATACATCCTCAGTTGAGAAGAATATGTTTCAACCTTTGTTTTTACCCTTTCCATTCCCAAACACAACAGTGGGGTTTTTATGTTGATTACTGTATTATACTATATCTGGATTAAGTTCTAGATCTGAGGTAGACTACTAGCCTCAGAAAGCTTTCAGGTTTTTGGTTCTAATTCTCCCCGCGTGAAAGATTCCTGTTCCTCTGGACTGGTTTGCCATGCTGTAGAGCACACAATGTTCTGCTTTTCCTGTTTCAAAGCTCTTGTTGTGTTGTTGTTTCTGTGTTAACCACATAATCTCTCTCTGAATTTGTAAAAAAAAAGCTTGTTGCCATGTATTGTTGAACAATACCGTCTCGAGTCTGTAGCACGTTTATGGAGGGGTTTGTCATAGCGTGGTCTGTTCCCATTGCTGGGGTGGACTACACTGACTGGATCTAGTTATCAAACCCCGTGAGCATGTAAACACTGGGAAGGAACTGGCCTGCTTCTATGAACTGCAAGAATATTTCCTGCTTGTGAGCCCTCAACCTGACACCTCTTTGCAGTGAGCCATTGTCTTTTTCCTTTCACAGCTGCAGAAAATACTTAGAGCTAGATACAGTTGTACATTCAAAATCTTGTGATCCAGTTCATGCAATGTTTTGACCAACTGCTAGGCTGTGGGAAGGTAAGGGCAGTCTTGAGGGAGAGCCTGGAAACTTTTCAAGCTGGTCATTTCTCTTGCCCGGACTGAATACAGACATTATACAGAGCTTCTGTGACCTTTCTGATGATAAGTCATTGCACTGCAGAGCTCTACAGGGCTGAGCAGTCATTACTCCTCCCCGTGTAACTGAAACAAACCGCGCCTGCAGCCAATACACAGCAGAGAATTTATTGACTGTCTCTGGAATTAGGCAATTCTGTTAATTGTCTTCATTTTCCAGGACTCCGTCATTCTTTTCCTGAACCATTAGTGGCACAGCTATTTGCGTGCCAGCATGAGCTGCCTGGAAAAAAAAGCTGAAATTGAACAGCAAATGAATCAAAGACAAGGACAGATACCTCTCAAAGATAATTGCATTCAGATATCCTGGAGAGCCCTTACAAATCCCTTTTCAGTTTCCACAGCTCTTTTCCTCATTGTGGCTTTGGCTTGAGGAACCTCTATTAAGCAAGAAGACATTCCTAAACAATGCCAGCAATGAGTCAAGACTTCTTTCCTTTTTCATGATTTACCTCCCCAGTGCTCTCTAGCTATACCAAACTCCCAAGCAAGGACTTTTTGCATTATTTTTTTATTTCTAAGGATCAAAATGATTGGGGTGGCTCTGCCTTTCCCATCTATAAAGCGCATTAAAGAGCACTTGGACATTGGTGGGTCATAAAGAAGGAAAATGCGTAGCTTGTTCTTTTATTCAGTTGTTTTGGTTTTTTTTTTTCATCCTTTTCTTCGCAGCCTGGATGTTAATCCCTGTACCATTTCCCACAATGAACATGTGGTCTGAACTTGGACATGTTTTAAGTAAATGCAGTGGGAGTCAATAATTGCAAGTTGCTGTCTACATAAAGTTTCTAGACAAGAAAGACACCCAATATTTTTAATACACCAAAATCATGACACTCAGTATACACATTATGTCTTATTTACATACCATTTATCCATACTTACTTGAAGTCTGTGGTATCACAAATGCATTCAAAATATTATATTTCTGCTTCAGTCTCTTTGATAAAAAAAAAATAGTCACTTCCATACACAGGATTTATTGTATCTTTTAAGTGATGTGGTTCTAGCACAGCTGTGATCCCACAAAAACACAGTGCTAGAGTATAGTACACATTTTGAAAAAAACCCTGATATCTGGGGGTGAACAGTCCTCTGGCAGTTTTGGGATACCATCCAGCATTTTCAGGTTTGGCAAACTGGAGAATACACTTAAAGAGAGACAAAAGAAAAATAGAAATTGAGATAAATAATCTTGGGAAATCTTGAGAACAAAATAGACACTGATAAAAAACAAAGAGTGGATTCAAACATATCCAAAATAGATTTGTGTTGTTGGAAATGTTGATTTGTCATTTGTTGCAGAAATTATTTGATAAAGAGCTAATGAAAAATTTTCAGGCTTCACTCTGTTGCACAAGTTTTATATCCTAGACTCAGTAAAGCACTACTAGTGTCTACATTTTTAATAGAGTAGAACCAAACCAGCTGTCTAATGCAAAAGAGAGGACAGAGTGTTAACCTAGACTGAATTTCCTAGACTGCTGAAAAGCAAAGATTCAGACTGCAAGAAGTGCAACTCAACTTTTATCTTCCTGTGACAGAGAAACCAGGCTCTCTGCAAAGCTTTTTGCACTTCTGTTTCTCCCAAAGAAAAGAAGTCCCCGTTTCGTGGGCACGATGCCAAAATGAAACGAATGGCTCTACCTCCTAATATACTGTCCCTTTTAAACAGCTCATCAGTATCTCTAACCTCGGTCATGAAGACTGCTGTTTTCTTCTTCAGAGGAGTTTGATGGAGCCGTAGCCCCCTCCATAAGCATCACACAGGGTGTTAACCCACACACTATGGTATTTGCTCCTCCGCCTTTTGAGGTGAGTGTGGACTCCAGTGCTCAATCTCGGCATGTAACTCAGGGCTTTATCTATGCTTGAAAATGATTCAGTCTGTCTTCCAGCACTGGCAGTGAAAGTAATACCAGAGTTATCTATATTTAATTGCCTTAAGAACTGGTAGGATTGGGAGCAGAAACAGAATTGGTAATTGTTAAAAAGTGCTTTTCAGCTTTTCTTCTTCTGAACCTTTTGAAATGCAAATAAAATGTAAAATCCTTTATTTTAAATTTACTTTTAACTTCCACTTTGATATCTGCCTATCTATTTACCTTTAGAAAGCACAAGCATCACCATCACACTGTCAAAGGGATGCGTACTAGACTGAAGGAAAAAGCCTACTGGAAACTCAGAAAGGTTTTCATTAAACATTTTTTGTTAAGCTTCTCTTTTTTTTTTCCCCTCCCAGGAAGAGAAGACTTCTTAGACACATGCTGTAAGGTTTATCTCAAAAATATCATCAATGCCTTGTGTAGATGGCTGACATGACTCCGTGTCTGTAGTGGGGAAAAACATGCAATTGTGCAGATTTCTGAAGAGCTCAGAAGGAACACGCTGCGTTCCCCTTTCTGACCTGTGTGCAATTTTTTTCCTGGCAACAGGGTTTTGGAGTCAAAGCAACTAGGGAAGAATGGAATAGGGGTGTGAGTGTCAAAATACGCATGAGACTTAGAATAAATTATCTGCCCCTGAATTCTCTACTCTATCTCGGATTTGAATTTTCCTTTCCAGTGTCCGAGGCAGCTCTGTTAAGTCTACACTATACTGTGCTGCCTGTGACATATACCTACACTGAGCAGGGAGTTCAAGGCAGTGCAACTTCCACAGTGCTGCCACGGAGAGAGGAGAGAATCCAGAAAAATCTAATGAAGGTAACTTAGTTTTCTCTTGCTTTAGCTCCCATCTTGCAATACATCCTTCTGATTCCATCTCTTGACATGTAATGCAATTTAGACTCCTTTCAGAATACACGAGGGATGCAATGAGACTGAAGAGAGTTTGAGTAATAGGAAGTTTCTATTAATAAAAGGGAATCTAATTTATCTGCCCTGGTCATTGTCTCTAAACTTGATCCATGGACTTAGTTCAGTTCAAGAACTGCTAGTCATGTGATTACAAAGCCTCCTAGGCAGTTTCTGAATATTTGTGGCTATTCTCAGATACTGGCTCACCAGCCCATGTTCCTGGAGCATTTATGATAGTTGACACTATGGGAAAATAAAAAAGATTGCTTGGGAGAGCTTGTTGTATTTGAGATCCTATCCCTTTTGAACTCTCTCACAATCATTTCTTTGTATTGTTCAACTTTTGTTGGCTACTAGATGGCAAGACTTACAGTTGTCTGTATCTTTCTTGAAACTCACAGGGATTCCTCTTGAGTATAAGGGATTCAAGTGGAGTATGCCTGAAGTCTGATATTCCACTTAGTGTCATGATGTTATTTTCAGCGAGTGATAAGTGCTGAATCTGAGGTATCTTTGGCAGCTGTTTGAAGGATGTAAAGTGGTTTTTATTGACATTTAGTTCTCTGCATCTGTAAAGCATAAAGCATATGACATCACTGATCACATCGTTGATGTTATGTACCTGTAAGCCAACACAGGGATGACTCTTCAGGTAGTCGAAGTCATGGCAACTTAGGGCTTCCAATGAGAGATACAAGAATTTGATTCCTTGAGACTTGCTTTCACACTAGTTTTACATTTGTGTTATTTTTGCCTAGACATGGACTGCAAGATCAGATCCCTACACTTCATACTTTCAGCTTTCTTTATATTGTACAATGGATACATCATTATTCTTGCTTTCAGTATTACAGCTTTCCATATAACTAGACATACAACAACAGAGAAACAACAGATGGATTGAAAAAATATAGTTGTCATGGTCACACCTGGCCTCTCTGCTTGGGTTATGTTCCACCATCTCTTCATATAGATTCCTTCATCTTTCAACAACTTTCCCTTTTATGCAAAAATATCACTGAACTTGATGAGACTCAGGAATTATCCACCAGGAATAAAGGAGACATCACCTGACCTCTTTACTGGGTATTTTCAACTTGGGAATGACATGAACTCAGAATAGCAATATACTGACGGATTCTCAATATAATACCCCTCAAAATATCATATTTTGGCAGTTCTCAGGAGTCTGCTCCAGCTATTACTTAGGTAAATAATAGTTTTGATTTCTATGATATTGCATAAAAATAGAAACAGGACGTTTTGTCTACCTTGGCAACCTTATGGCACTTAGGTCTGTCAAAGAATTGTCCACCAACCAAAGTTTTTCCACCCGAATTAGTCTTTGGAGAATCCTTTTGAAGTTTTCCATCTGGTAAAGATCACCCAGGTCCTGAAATGAAAGGTTCAGCTCCTGGGAAGGGAAAAATAAGAGAAATCACTTACTTTTTTTTTCTTGCTTTTTAGTAACTATATCATTAAATCTTTTCAATGTCAGAATTAGTTAAAAGGTGAATCTGTTTTATTATGCTGCTCTTATACCAATTTGTGTTGCCAACTGCCAAATTCACCTTAGAATCATAGTGATGCACTGCATAATTCCTCAAAAGTAAAGAAGAAAGAAACCATCTCTGAAGCATGTGAATCTTACTGTCCAGCCCCTCCTGCCTCTTGAGTGGGCATGCCTGTGTGTGCACTCTGGGCAGAGAAAGCAGGACTAAGGGATTGTAGCTTATTGGTTTGGCCTCTAAATTCATCTGGAAAAAAAAAGTGCTGTGCAGTCGCCAGATATCAGTATTCCCCAGTGTTGATGCATTGGCAGAGGCATGATGCATCGCACTGGATCTCAGTGTTAAAAGTTACTACCTGATTTTAGGGAGGTTATAAGTTACTGCTGGTCAGAACCAGCAGCAATGTAGTACCTCCAGCCAAAAGAACTGCTCAGGCTGGTATGAGGAGAGACTGAAAGAGCTGAAATTAAACTACTCCATTCTCTAACTGTTCATTTACCATCAGGCACTAAGCAGGCAAAGAACGTCACTAGTTGAACAAATGAAGCCCTATCACAACACAGGAGTTTAGTCTTTGCACAGGGTCAGAACCCAAATTACAATATATTCCAGTGCTTCCCCTGGCTTGCAAAAACCTTCTGGTTTACAATGTCATGGTGCCAGTCTGACCTTTAAAACTGCTAGCTGCAAGGAGTGGCTGGCACATTATTATTTGGCTTATTTACTACTACAGTACAAAGAGTTAATAAGAAAGATTTACAGCACAGTTTTCCCAGTTCTCTTGCAGTTTCCTCTGACGCTTCTCTGTGTCAGTTACTTGTTTTCTTTTTTTCAAAGTATGTTCTTCTCCTCTGAAAAATAGCTCTTCTTCTGAGGGCCCTGGTCAGAAAAAAAGATTTTCAATAGTGGATGTGATATGGAACTGGCACTTAGTTACTTGCTGAAAGATTATATATATGGCTGGGAAGATATCCGAAATAAAGAAATATATATAATATTACAGGTGCGTTTCCAGGCCTCTAAGATGTAAATTAATGCGAAGATTTTTCTACCATTCCTGGGCTCATAATTCAGCAAGCAATCTAAGGTCATGATGATTTGGTACATGGTTAGTAAATGACATTCCTTCTATAGCTCAGAATAAAAGCTTTTTCTAAATGGTTGAGCATAAGCATCTGAGTTCTAAAATACTGTTTCTATGTACTCTTTCACATGCTATGAGTTTATATAGCAGTTATGTACTTATCCTTTAATTGTCCTGAGCAAGGGGTATGTTTGTAACTTCCAGTCCACTGACAACAACTGCAACTGGGATTAATAGCCATACTCAAAACCTCATTTGTATTAAGAACGACACATGCTGAAGACTTAAAGTCAATGGGTCTACCGAAATGCTCAAAGCTATGCACATCTTCAAATTCCTAACTAAAGCAAGGACAGTGTGGAATTTTTCTGCTGTTTAGCCCCAAACAAGCAAACACTGGATTTTAAAATCCGCCTTCCATTCCTCATTCCTGAGTGCATCTCTAAATTGCAATGGGCCAATTCAGTTTTAAAATAATATATATGTGCCGCTGTATGCAACTGGATTTCACTCTCATCTTCTTGTTTGGCATATTGCTATTGCATTCTGCACAATGTTTAAATGTTAATGAACTTTTGAGAGAAGTAATCAATACCACATTAATACTAAAAATTTTCAAATTACAGTTCTGGCTTTTGTTTCCCATTTTCAAAATTACAAAGGGTATTTTCCTAGTGATTAAAAAAAGTAAACATGTACAATATGGGATGAAATCCTGCCGCTTTTCAAAACAATGGCAAACTCTATGATTTAAGCTCATACCATTTAAGGACATACTGTTTGAGTAAATAGAGTTAAGGCTTCAATGTGAATATGTCTTTTTGGTCTTTACCTTCCCTCACTCGGGGACAATGAAGCTGATTTCCTCGAACATCATGTTCTTCTATGTCACACCAGTTGAGATACTTGAAATAATCAGAAGGAAGCTTAAAAAAAGCAAAAAAAAGATATGAAAAAGCAAAAAAAAGATATGAAAGACTCAGTTAAGGTTTTTCAGTTTCTGGCATTGTGTTTTCTCATATTTCTGGCCTTATTCCAGTAGAAATAATATTCATACATGTTTACAATGTCCTCTGCCTTAATACCACCTGGTGAATAGCAAAATGATCTATGGAAGTGAGGATATAAAGGCATGCATTTGTGTATGCGTATGCATGTAAACACATTTCTGGACAAGCTTACATACAATATATCCTGAATGCAACTGAAGCACTAAATCTAAATACAGAAAATCTGCTGGTGCAGTTGAGAATATGAGGTTTCTGCCCATTTTGCTTTTCCATTAAAACATGTTCTATAATTTCCAGGGCATCGGTCTCCCAGAAGGGAGCAAGGAACAAAGTCTCTAACTAACTCTGCCTGTAGCGTATGGAGTAGGTGTGATTTGTGTCATGCCCAACAGAAACACCATGATTGCCTACAGTGGGGGAACCTCTCAGTGCAATGCAGCTTGGCTCTTTGCTCAAAATTCCAGCATTTCTTTCACTGGAAACCACGATGGTGGAGTTGGGGGTGGAGGAGAGATGGAGCATGCACCTCTGACTCATCCCCTCCAGTCAGAGCTGAGCTATACACACATCCAGAAGCTGCTAAATGCTGTGGGGATTCACAGTTTAGGTGTAGTTTACCACAGCCCCTTCTGGTTTACTTCTACGAATTGGCTCAGATATTGGAGAGAGATATTCTCACAGAATGTCTGTATTGTTACCTTTCATAGCACTCCTGATTATGACATTTTATAGCATATGTATACAGCCTCTTCAGGATTTATTATATACTTGACCATTGCATCCAGTTCTGTGCATAGGGCTCAAAGGCTTCCTGGGCCACTGAGTCAAATCCCCTGCCACTGCTGGCACCTCATCATATAATCTTATTTATAATCGTCTGATCTAGCTTTGGAAGATAAAAGGAGGCAAACCATAATCAGCTTCAAAGCTGAGGAAGAGATTTCAGCCTTCGTTACTCTTTGTCAGTGTCTCTCTTCTATAAATTTGTAATCAGACTGGTATAGCCAGACACTTACTGGGGAAGGTAGCCCAGAATCACAGTTCTGCCTGATGAATCCTCTGTTTTGTGATAAAACCGGTGGAATAGTGTGTGTATTGCTTAGGATGGAGCAGCAGGATGAATAGGATTTACAGAATTTTTGCTTGCTTGTAGTCAGACCTGAGGAACTAGAGAGGAGATGTTAAACAAGTAATCGATTCTGTTCAGAGAAATGCAAAGTATTTTATAATAGCAGAAAATACAGAGTAGTAAGGGGTAGGACTTACCACCAGACAATAGCCACATGATCCCAAGGTCAAACCATAGGTAGGGCAATCCCTTCCAGTCCCTTAATGGGACCTCTCACCTAAGTACTGTTCACTTACGCATACGAGGCTTTCACAGATATGTCCAAACATTAGAAAGAGGATCTTACTGGCAATTTGTTAGAAAAACTCCATCTTGGAGAAAATTAAGAACTGAACTTGTTCAATAGCATGATATGCCCCATTTTATCCTGTATACCCCTGCTTTTATGGATCCAGGTTGTATGAAAAGATACCTCAACTGTTTATTTTAATCCCTTGAGTATGTTTTAGTAGAATATCGAGGCTCCAAAGAAAAGTTGAGCTTCGTTCAATAGAGTCTTGAAGTCATGTGCTTCTGTGCTTTGCTAGTTCATTGCCTAAGAACACATTTGAAAGTACATTTCATATACCCCAACTGATGCAATTTCTCCAGAGAGATTGAATAATTTGCAGACTGGCAGCTGCAATTTAGAAATTTGCCATGGAATACTTAAAAAAAAAAAATTTAACTTAGTAAGTGTGTGCATACAGCACTATAATTTGACTTTTACTGGACAAGCTCTGCGAGAGCTTGCCAGAAAGTATCAGCTGTCAGTAAGCGTCATTAAAACAATTATAGTCAGGAGCAGAAATGGAGAATAAAAATGCAGTTTTAAAATGCTCTAGTGAGGATGGTAATGAAAGTTTCATATTGAGTGTAACAGACAAGCTAAATACAACATCAGTTAAAACTTATAATTACAGATTATTGGCAAATAATAATGAAGAGACGTATTCTGTTGACCTTACTAAGATTGGTTTGCCTTTTTTAAACATCATCAAAACCCAATATTACATCTTTCCTGGCTTTTGCCTGAGAGTGCATCCAGACTGCACAGAACAGTACTGACATACGGAACTATTCCTCCCTTCATGCTTTATGCTTTTTTTTTTAATAGGATCAAACCAGCCAGAATAAACCATAGGTGACTTAAAGGAAGCTGAGCAAGCTCAGCATTTCTGAAAATAACAGCAATTTACTTAGGCATTTTTAGAGGTCATCTTGAGGCAAACAGACGATTTTCATGTGTGTGTGCTGCTGCAGATCAGCAGGCATTCACACACACAGCAACCCTGTGAAAAGAGGATTTACATTTGGTCAATATAAAAAAAAAACCAAAACCAAAAATAAAGTACTGCTTAGCCCTATCTTGGGATTTGTTTTGCTTCTGCTTCCTTGTATGTTAAATGAGGTCGTACCAGAGAAATATGTATAAATTCTTTTATATTTAAGAAAAAGATCTATTATTCTTCTCAGTTTTGGAAGCAATTTGTTAGGTTGTATTCAAATGACTATTATAACTGCAAGACTTTTGAAAACCTACCTGCCTCTCAGCTAGATACTGCCTCCTCTGCCGAGGCATGAATATACACTCCTAGTCCCTTGAAATGTGGGGTAAAACATTTTAGCTGAATCATTTAACATGGTATCTATTGTGATCTTTGGCAGAAGCCCACTCACAAAATTCCGTATCGGTGATGGAAAATAAAACATGAAGTTCCAGAATCAATATGGGATAGATAAGACTACTCCAGTCAGGTGGGTAGTGAGATTTCTATTGGAAAGAGTGACAGAAGGAAGCATTTTTCATCTCAAAACTGCCTGAGTTTAACAAGCACCAGCTGGACCCTAACATTATGTCACAGAAGATTTTTCTGAAGGAGCAAGCGCAACATTGCTTTTCTTTCCCTTGCTTTGTTTTCCTTACTATTTTGCTGCAAAATTGATGCAAAAGAAACGGCAATGAATGAGGCAGGATGCAATTCCAAACAATTACAGATCACACAATACATGAAAGTAACAAAATTTCTGCCTTGATTGTGAGGCCCTTTGGCTGGATATGAATCTCCAATGACACCTCTGGGAGCAGCACACTAGATTATGTCAAGCATTAGGGGAAAAAAAATTAGATTCATGATGTCTGTCCAGGCTGAGTCATTTCCTCTCGCTTTGCCTGCAGTGAGAAGTTGGTGGTTATCATAAATCATAGACCTAAATTCTTATGAGAGAGGAATTAATTTCACTAATGGAAACCCTCTGTGGCAATAGCATTCCTCCATTCTCTCTCTTCTTGGAGGGGGGGCAGTATCTACGATGTCTTTTAAGCAGAGATACTGGATATTATATTTTAAGAATCCTATAAAAGAGGATTGGAAAGAAAACTTAAAATGTTAAGGGGAAAAATCTTGCGTGTGAGCAACTTCTAATTTCTGAGGCTGGCCCTCAGTCTGGTTGTTTGTATCATGGCTATAGCTTTACCACTCATGTCAAATCCATGTACAAAATTTCAGAATACTCAAGTCAACATTAAACATCTAAAACCTCCATCTGGTTAAAGTATGATTTCTCCCACCTAGCTGGAGTTGCCAGCCTGCAAAGCCAGGCTTAGCAAATTTTCTTGGCTCCCTCGACAGTCAGTGGAGACAAGTGGGTATGGCCAGATACCCACTTACTCAACCCAGCCTCGATGCCTATTATTTTCAGCTGGAGTGAACTACAGTCCACACTGTCCACATGATGAGTCCACAGGCTTTCCTGAGAGTGGACACAGCTTCAAGGCATCTGAAGTTTGATGAGGAGGATCCCACTTTAAGTGCCTAAAGGGTGCTTTGAAATAGCAGGACTTCTGATCACTTAAAAAAAGCTCAGGGAAATCATTCTGTTCCATGTAGCATCATTGAAATGTATTAGCCATTTCATCTAAATAATTAAACAAACAAACAAATTGTACAAAACAATTCTTTGCTAGCCCCTTGAAATCTAGAGTGCTGCATATGAGCTGAATAGAGGTAGCATGGACTGTGAAAGTACTGGTAAGTGAAAGTACTCATGACTAAACCAATATATTTTATGCTTTTTCCTCAGTGGAAGTCCCAGTGGAGAACTAAGTGGCTGAAATATTTTGTAAACTGGAAGGAATGAGTACAGAACAGCTACCGCATTTTTCAAAAGATGATTTATGAGATATCTTGGAAAATCATGCACTCCTATAGAGTTCACTGTTAAAAGTCACACATTAGCAAGATGTCAGTGTCAGTTGTGTGTTCATGAAATGGGTCTGCTTCTCCTCCCACTGACATCTTGGCAACATTTTCATAGGCAACAAAATGCTGTAGATTTTCCAGCTGCAGCGCAAGTACATTTGAGTCCAGCTGAGTTTAAGGGCAGAATATATTAAAAGCCCATGAAAGACTTTGAAGAGCTATACCTAAGCCACTTCTGAAACTATACCAGTGAAAGATATTCTGAGTGAAAAACATTCCTTCTGTGTAGTATTTTAGATATTTGGCTGTTAAGAAAAGACTGTCAGTCAAAAGACTCCTTTCTCCTGGTGTAACTGGCAGCCTTGATAAACAAACATTTTAAACTCTACAGCACAGGTTCAGCTTTGCCTCATGGAAAATGGCAAATGGAAAGCTCAGTGGAAGAGGAGTAAAGATAAAGAAGATTATAAGCAAACTCTTGCAACTGGGATCTGAAAGGCTGGGACAAATCCCAGTGTTTTGAGTAGTTTTGGGGTCCGGTCTAACTTCTAATAGTCTTATCCCCAGCTACTTTTCATGACTCAGCAGCCTCGAGTAGGCTTAGCTTTCACTGAACCATGGCTGCTTTCCCTGTAGATCTGAAATGTCCTTGATAAAAGACTTGGGAGTAAGTAGTAGGGCTATTTATACTGCCTCTTCACATATTCAGAGTCAGAATTCCTATGGTGCTTGCTACAGCTTCACATCCCACCAGATCACAGAGCATATACGATGGAAAGGCCCCACGTGGCTGATCCCAGTGGAAGTCTGGTCAGATTGCTATTTAACAGCAAAGTGCTCCAAGCTCTTTCAGTCCTGCTACTATGGAAGTGAAAAACATGGACCTTTCTAAAGGAACCAAATCTAATGTATTTTAAGATCATCTTAGAATAAGAAAAAAAAAAGAAAAAAAAACCCCAAAACTAAGAAAAGGGCGATACATCCTCCCAAAGTGAAGAGTTCTTATATCTAGGTCAGAGCTGCTGATCTTGCACAGGCTCTAAGAGCGCTGGTTATGGATCTGTCCAAGCCACTTGCACAAATAGCTGTTTGCTTGTGTGATACAAACACCCAGTTATTTATGTTGTCTCAGTCAATTGCCCATGCCAAAGCTGATCAACATAAATGAACTGCGGGGTTAACTTACAAACACAATTTGTATAGGTATTTAAAAGACAGCAGACTCAGAATTCAGGCTGTGCTTTGTTCAAAATGCACACAATTTACTGTTATGTAGCAGCTGTTGCTTGTATGCAAACATTTATTATGAGGACTCTCTGAACTTAGAATAGTAGAGGACTTGGACATTGTGTTTCCATGCTCTATTACCTTTCAATTACTTTTTATAGGAGTTTTATGAGACATTATGCAACATTTTGAAGCAGTTGTTTTGAGCATAATTTAGTGACAAACACACCTGTAAGTTATGGTAACAGTGCATTCTTGCTGTTAGCTGTACCATCAATTATCTTGCTTTATGCATCATAAAATTGCCCCCCCAAAAGACATAATTAACATAATTAGGTCTTATCACCATAATTATACATTCCCAGCATATTAACTAACACTCCATGCATCTCTTCATGGATCTAACTTGCAACAATACAAATTCCACATCTCCATCAATGTGCCTTTCACACATTTTTACAACAAATTATACATTTTTTGTTGAGACACCTTTTGTCTTTCAGTAATCAGCCAATGACACCAAGAAAAAAAC